ACCTAAGACAGTTGGAGAAGGTACTTTCCCTTTCAGAAAAGGACCTGTATGAAACAAAAGATGGCCAAGAAGTGGAAGGAAATTTAAATTTAAAGCCTGGAGTTCAGCTTTGCTTAAGTGAGAAACATTTATTTAGCATTCCTTGTTTTGGGGATTATGTGATATGTCATTATTTCCTTTTTGTATTTGAATTTTTTGTTTGGTTGTTGGCATTTGTTTTATTCTTCATGAAATTTCTTTTTATTTTTTCCCCTTAATTCTTTTATAAGAGTAAATATCTATGTCATTATCTAAGAATATTTTTTCTCTTAATCATACTATATATTACATAGCATCTACTTTCTTTTTAAAATCACTCTTCCTGGAGCATCTAACCTCCAGCTCAGATATGGTCCAGTTGATCTCTAGACAGGTTTCAAAGCTGTTTTTATACTGACTTCTCTGAACATATTCCTTTGCTAATAAGAACATTATTTTTTGTAGCTAACATTTTTCTCATTCTTGGATTCTTTTTCTTAGTTAAAAAAGTTTTAATTCCAGTATAGTTAACATACTGTGTTATATTAATTTCAGGTATACAGTATAGTGATTCAGCAATTTTGTATATTGCTCAGTGTTCATCATGATAACTGTACTTTTAATCTTCTTCACCTACCATCCCTGTGGTAACCATCAGTCTGTTCTCTAAAGTTAAGAGTCTGTAATTTGGTTTGTCTCTTTTTTTCTTTTAGTTTCTTTGTTTTCTAAATTCCACATGAATGAAACCATATGGTATTTGTCTTTCTCTGACTGACTTATTTCATTTAGCATTATACTCTCTAGATCCATCTATGTTGTTGCAAATGTCAAGATTTCATTCTTTTTTTATGGCTGAGTAATAGTCCATTGTGTGTATATACCACATCTTCTTTATTCATCTATCAGTGGACCCTTTGGTTGCTTCCATAATTTGGCTATTGCAAATAGTACTGCAGTAAACATAGGGGTGCATCCATCTTTTCAAATTAGTGTTTTCATATTCTTTGAGTAAATACCCAGTAGGGGTTTTACTGAATCATGTGGTAATTGTATTTTTAATTTTTTGAGGAATGTCCATACTGTGTTTCACAGGGGCTGCTTCATTTTGCATTCCTACCAACAGTGCATGAAGGGTCCTTTTTCTCCATATGCTTGCCAACACTTGTTTCTTGTGTTTTTGATTTTAGCCATTCTGGCAGGTGTGGTTTGCATTTCCCTGATGATAGAATGTTGAGCATCATTTCACGTGTCTGTTGGCCGTCCAGATGTCTTATCTAGAGAAATGTCTCTTCCTGTCTTCTGCCCATTTTTGATTGGATTATTTGGGGTGTTTGTGTGTTGTATAAGTTCTTTATGTATTTTGGATATTAACCCTTTATCTGATACGTCATTTGCAAATAGCATCTCCCATTCAGGAAGTTGTCTTTGAGTTTTGTTGATTGTTTCCTTTGCTGTACAGAAGTGTTTTATTTTGATGTAGTCCCAATGGTTTATTTTTTGCTTTTTGTTTCCTTCACCTGAGGAGGCATATCTAGAAGAGTGTTGCTATGGCCAATGTCCAAGAAATTACTACCTCTGCTATTAGGATTTTTATGGTTTCAGGTGTCACGTTTAAGTCCTTAACTCATTTTGAGTTTATATTTATGCATGATGTAAGAAAGTGGTCCATTTCCATTCTTCTGCATGTAGCTGTCCAGTTTTCCCAACACCATTTGCTGAAGAGACTCTCTGGATTCTAATTCTTAGGACTTTTTGGTAATAATGGTAACTGCATGGCACTTAAAAAAGACAAGGACTGCATAGTTAGAGCATATTCATACAAAACTGGACTTAGAATGATTTTGAAGTTTCTTCCTCAAAATAAAATTTCTGGATAAATTGTAAGCAATACTGGAAAGCAGCTGATATTTTTTTTTCCTGCTCAAAACTTCTGATACTACTTGTTTTCATCACTATTGTTAGCCACTCCGTTTCCCTTACCATTTTGTCCTTTTCCATAATGGTAAAAGCATAAAATCATAGCAGGCAGACAAAACTACAGAGACAGAGAATCGGTTAGTGGTCACGAGGGGTCATTTAAAAAATATCTTGTAAACAAAAACCTTATTTGAACAACAAGAAGCTTTACCTACAGGGAAACTTAGGATCAATTTCTTTAGAGTGATTCATCATTTCTTAGAGACAACTGCCATTGCCAAATAGATGAATTGTTTTGACAGAATTAAAAGGAAAACATTGAAACTATCTAAATAAATTAAGTTATGCAAGAATTTTTTTTGCATTTTTTTATTTTTGTTAACAATGAGAGCAAAGTAATTTACTTGAGTACAAAGAAAACAAATGGACTCAACATGCCACTAGTGGGGAATGGAGTATTTACATTTCTCCCTCTTACCATTTGATATTGATTAAAATATATTTTTGGTTATTTATTTTTTAAGCATTACACCTGTGTATGTATACTAGGAGTAGGGGTAAAAAATTTTTATGGGAAAAACACACTATAGTAATTGTAAAGTTGCAGAATTCTGTTGCATTTTTCTAGTTGTGTGTGTTCTGCTCATGGGCACGAGGGGGCCTGGTTCTGGATTAAAGATCATCTTTGATTGAACATCTATAGTATTTTGCTGCATTTGGAACCACTGCAGTTGTATGTTTTTCTGCATTTCCAACTGAGTGAATATGTCACTTTTCTTGTTTAGGGAACCATCAAAACACAGTCTGATTTTTCTCATTGGAAGCCAAATCCTTAAAACAGGTTTTCTTTAATTTATCAAGTGAGACTCCATCCTGTGTGTTGCCAGCTCCAGATAATTATGTTCATCATATTCAGCCTCGATTCGTTTCTTGGACTTTTCATTGGTCCCTACTTTATGGAAAACTGTTAGGTTGACACAGAAGGAACACAGATCATACCAAGAAGAGTGGAAACAAGCCTTGGATACTTTTTAAATAAAAAGTCTGAACTTTAAAAGAAGGTCTGAACTTTTAAGTAGAATGGTATCATCTGTAATTTTTTATTACCTTCCAATAACAATCAATGAGTGGACTCTAGTAAGTAAGATACTTGATTCTTGGATTAATTTCCCACTCTGGGAAGCAGTTAAATGTTTAGATGTTGGAAAGGCAACAAGACAAATCCATGAGTATTTGACATTCTTTTTTAATTCTTCTTAGTCATAAGCACATCATTTTACACTAGGTTTATGGTGGTGAAATTTTGTTTGAATATAATTTATGAGATCAGGGTTTCAAAGACCTCTTTCCCTTTCAGTTCTGTGTTGGTATTTTCTGTGATTATTTGTTTTTTATCAGAGGCATTGAAATTTCCTTCAAAAAGAAATTCCTCTTTCTGGGTTTGGTGATAAATACTTATTACTGGCTTAGGGATTGTTTTTCTTTTATGAACTCATTTTCCTCTGTGGTTGTCTGTTGGCTAGTTATGGGACTTTCCTTTTCGTTCTTACTGTAATGTAATTCTTTTTTTTTTTTTAAGTTTTTATTGAATTCCGATTAACATACACTGCTGTATTAGTTTCAGGTGAACAATATAGTGATTCAGCACTTCCGTAAATACCCTGTGCTCATTCCAACAAGTGCACTCCTTAATTCCCATCACCTATTGCCCCAGACACCCCCACCCACCTCCCCTCTGTTAACCATCAGTTCATTCTCCATAGTTTAGAGTCTGTTTCTTGGCTTGTCTCTCTCTCTTCCTTTTGTTCTGTTGTTTTGTTTCTTAAATTCCACTGTAATGTAATTCTTTCGAAGTTGAAAATAGCCCAGTGAAGAGACTGGCAGAGCATTCCAGGTGGTAAGAGTTTCTCCAACCTAGAATGGATTTCGCTGCTCTGGGAATGGCATTTCTCTGCCATAGTATATTTGGTTCAGTGTTAAATAAATACTACCCTGTAAGAAATAAAGTTATAATTTAAACACAGATTTTTCTCCATAAGGGACTACCCTCTTTAAATTGATCTGTTCTTAGTTGTACCCTGTTCTTTTACTTCCCTTTAAACTAATTGTCTGAATCTGTTACCCACTTCCACCTCTCCATGGTAAATTTTCTGTACAAACTGAGAGGAACTGTTTCTCAGAGAAAGCAATCAGGTTTCATTTGAAAGGGGGTTTCCCTTTGGTTTGCACAAAAATTGTAAAGATTTTTAAAGATTTCACATATATATCTTTGTATATAAAATTTTTTCATATATGTTATATATAATAAATGTGTTACCTTTTAAACAAAAAACTGAATATGAACTTCTTGAAATTTAATGCAAAGGAAATCTGGCTTAAATCTGACCATTAAAAATAATTTATTTAGATATGTTTCTTAAAAAAGATCCAGATCATATTTTTTTCACATTAGTATATTATACCCCGTTGAGAATTTTTCATAAGTGACATAGAGGTCCTAGCTGCTTTTTATGATATCAAGGGCAATCCTGTAATATTTACATTTATTTATTTATAGCTATTCTCTGCTTAATTATGTTCAATATATGAAAATCCATATCTTGAATAGAAGATGACTGCTCAAGAGTCAGTCTGGCAGATTTTTTTTTTTTTTTTTTAGATTTTATTTATTTATTTTGACACAGAGAGAGAGATCACAAGCAGGCAGAGAGGCAGGCAGAGAGAGAGGGAAAAGTAGGCTCCCTGCCAAGCAGAGAGCCCGATGCGGGGCTCGATCCCAGGACCCTGAGATCATGACCTGAGCCGAAGGCAGAGGCCCAAACCACTGAGCCACCCAGGTGCCCGATCTGGCGGATTTTAAACATGAATTATTCACAAAAATATGAATTGCTGTTAGTTTCACTTACTGCCCTGATACATAAGAAGTAGCTGTGTCTTATATGCATTAAAATATTCTTAATTTATGCTTTATTGGACTTACATAATTAAAATGCTAGTAGATTAAAAATAATTGCTGTTTATTTCTGCAGACTTATAAGATTTTCTACTTTCTTTTTCTCTAACAGATATAAGCTTACCAAAGTCGGCCACAATATGCTATACAGCTGCCTTGCTCAAAGCAAGAGCTGTCTCTGACAAGTAAGTGAATAATGACTTGTGCGGTACTAACTCTCTGACTCGACTTAAGGAGATGTGTTGCCTCTGAGGGCTTCTCTGGAAGTTTCTCTTAGTCTTTGAGACCCCCGCTTATGAGCATGCATTTTCTAAAACCTGCTGATCTTTTCTTTCACTACTAGAAGGAGGGAATATATATCCCCAGGTATCGTAGGGGTGTATGGGTCCCTAAAGAGGGATTTATGTGAAATTTCATACCTCTGAGGTGACTTTTTTTTTTTTTTTTTTTTTTTGCCAGACAGTAGATACCGAAAGGCCTGCTTGGGACTTACACAAAATGCCTTCCTTTTATTCATTTTTTTCGTATTCCTCTTCCTTCAGCAGTCCATGACCTGGTAGTAGCCCTAACAAACATGTGAGATGGCAGAGGGGTTGATCATCTTCCATTCTTTGACTCCTCAGTTCCCAACTAACCGCCGACCCAGGGTCTGTTGGCTTTGAGTTGTCATCTCAGTGGGACCTTTGCCCATTTTATTCAGGCAGGTGACTTTGGCCTAGAGAATTTCCATACACACCCGAGATGACTGGCAGGTGAAAGAGAACAGTTGGCTTAACTGTTCTTGAGTTCACAAACGCTTGTTTCCCTGATATAATCCCTCTGAAGCACTGAAAAGCAGATCCCAGGAAAAGAAAACAGCCTCTGCTATGTCAGACAGGTTTGCTGTTAAGTGTGTGTGCACTTCAAGACCGAAGTAATTTTCTTTCATTCTTTTTTATCCTGTAGATCGCCAGTACCTACTGCAACATCTTTTCTCCCTACACAGCGACTCCAGCTTGGGAGGGCAGGGCCAGGGTTGTCACAGCTTCCCCTGTGGTGTCTGCCTGCCAAGCACAGCTCTGGAGTTAGCCCTGGGTGTGAGGTGAGAAAGAGATTGCATGGTCTGGTTTTTTTCATTCACTCGGGCAGGTGTCTCGCCCACAGTTTGGGCATGCACACCCCCTGCCGGAACGGCCCCAAGCAGGCTGGCCTGCGGTGGACGCTGCCTTGCAGCACTGACATTGGGTTGGGAGCCTCCTTGAAAATTCTCCCCAGTTCTGTTTTTAACCAAGTACGCTCTTCTGTAACCTAGTTTTCTCTTTTGCCTATACTGTCTGCCCTCGTCAGTCCTACCACCCCCCCTGACCTAAGCAGGTACCTCCTAGAACATTTAGATTAGCTATTTAGACAGACAGACTTGACAGCCGAATTTAATTCCTGCCAAGATTAGATGCAAGCACGCTTTCTGCTTCTGCTGGGGTTTTTGTTGGCCTCGGTCTTAGGGGTCACTCAGAGGTTCCATGTAGTGGAGGTTTGGAGAGCTCATGCCATTGACTCGCTGTGGTTTTATGGGCCCTTGATGTGTAGACGCCTTTCCGGGTTGATGCCCAAGCAGTGGTCCCAACTGGATGGTGTTTGTCTTTCTGCTTTTCAGATTCTCTCCCGAGGCTGCATCTCGGCGGGGGCTGAGCACAGCAGAGATGAATGCAGTAGAGGCCATTCATAGAGCTGTGGAATTCAATCCTCACGTGCCAAAAGTGAGTCTGTGGAATCCCCACAGGAACTCGTTACGATGGTAGAGAAAGTGTTCAGTGACCACAATGTCATGTCTCGAATACACCCAGTAGAAAAAAATGAATTGTAGCCATTGAATGTTGAGGCCCTGTATAGTCCATGGTTATCAGCTTCATTTTTAAGCAAAAGCTCCATTCAAGAGGCTTTGGGCCGATTTGGGGGCTTTATATAATTAGGGTAAATTGATAGACCTGGCTTAGGCAGGTCAGGCCAGGAAGCCTGAAATTGGCAAACCACGGAGATCCCAAGAGTGTTGATGCATTTTATAGGAATTTCACACCAGTTACAGTCTTAACTTATACCCATCTTGGGAAATGAACCTAGTTTTGAATATAAATGGTAAAAAAAAAAAAAATACTGATTAATGTGACATTCTGTGTCTCTATAAATAAATAATTGTTAATCTATTGGCAAGAAAATAGGAAGGAGAATCTCAAAGTATGAAGTAGTATTTTTCTTTTGACTTGTGAGTGCCATTTTAGGAGGTATACTTAGTAGGAAATGTTTATCTTAATTTTTAACCACATGATTGACAATACCCAGTGTTTCCCATATATTTTGTTCTTGAATTTTATTTTGAAAGGGAGTCAAATCCCAATAGAGGATATTTCTGTAATCTTTTATTTAGGAGATGGATGTGTTTATAATTTACCTATATTTGAGTACCTGCTATGTGAGAGGCACATTGCTGAGTGCTGTTTTCCACTTCTCAATGTTATAAAGCACATTTTGACCTCTGGGAAATGATTCACACAGGGTACCTCAGGCATAGTTGTCTTTCAAATTTCTGAGGAAGAGTTTCACTGGCAAAAAATGACCAAGGAAGGCTATTTTGTTTTCTTACAGTACTGTGGCAAGAGGGTTGTGTATGTGTGCATGTGTGTGTGTATGTGAGGATTTGTAGAGTTACCTACTTTTATTTATTTTGTTGATAATCTCAGTGACAGAGATAGGTGACCTAACATCATTTCTGAGCTTTGACTCAGGTCGTGCTCGTTGTCTCGCAAAACAGAAATCCGAACAGTGGTGCACAGTGCCACAGCTGGTGAAGGATCCACTCTAGTTCCAGTGGATAGTGACCAACATAGTACTTGTAGACTTAGGATAAAATGTATTTCTTTATTTAACATCTTTTCGACTAAGTTAAGAATGTTCATTCCAATTTGATTAAATTTTAAAGCTAATCATGAAAATATTGTCCTGAATTACACAGTCGACTTAGGTCATCAATTACTATTTATTGAATGCCATATCCAATTCAGAGTTATTCTATGAGCATAAATAAGCTCTTCTAGAAGTAGCATTGAGCAGTAGAGTCCTAGATTTGGAGACAAAAACTTGGGTTCAAGTTCTGGTTCTGTCATTCATTAGCCATGGGAGTTTGGGGCTTAGCATCTCTGAACTCTAAAGTTTTCCCTCATTTTTCAGATGAAAATAAAAATATAAATCTTCCCTTTTGTGATAAAGACCAATTGAGATAATATAGTCAAAGTTCTTTGAAAAACTTCAATATTGTATGTTCATAAAGTATTAAAATTATTGATATTGGACTTGTTGGAGGCCCCTCAAGTCTGGACACTGGGTCCTAACTCTCCCAGTTATCCCAGAGCTTTGTCATCTTAGTGCACAAGGTAAGAAACTGGTACTTGCTGGTTAGATATTTAAGGAGAAGATGTAGTGTAATTTTATGATAAGGGTCTTAAATGGTTGATTGAGCCTTTAGAAGAATATTAAAAGCCCCAAGAAATAGTTTAAGGCTACCTTGGAAGATTTTGACCTAGTCAGCTAGCACTCCACCTGCAAAAGAAAATTCTTTCTAAAAGTGGAAATATTTGAAATATTTGATTTCACTCTACTTGTTAACTGGAGAAAAGATAGGGTGCATAGGTAAGCTGATTCTCTACCACTTTGCTTTGTTGGTTATTGTGCTGAGGAGAAACTTGTTTCCAGATCTTCTTCATCTATTGACATTTCCATGGGGAAAAGGCCCTGTGAGTCACTGTTCAGAATTATGTCCAGAATTAACCACAAACCTCTGGTACATGTGTACTATTTGCAGGCTGTTGTAAACATCCTTTATACATGATCTATTTTTTGGACTGCTTGCTAATACTTTAGTAAACACACACACACACTACACATATGTGTAGACACATACACACACAGGTGCCTTTTCAGGCAGAAGGTAGCCTTAATTCTAATGAGACATCAATGAAAGATAAGAACTCTTAGGCTCTTGGTGTAAGAAGGGACCTCAGAGATCATCTAGGACACCTTCCCATCCTCAGCTTGAATCTCTCCTCGTAGTGATATTGTGATGATTATTTTTAATATTGGTTTTTATTGCATGTTTACTGTGTGCCAAGCATAGTGGTAAGTGAATTGCATATGCCTTCTCATTTATTTTGCATAACAACACTGGCGAGGCGTATCGGACTATTACCCCTGCTCCACAGATGAGGGCGCTGCAGGTTTGGAGAGGTTACGTGACCTTCTCTCGGTCACACAGCTAGTAAGCGACAGAGCCTGAACTGGTTCTGGGTTCTCTCACACTTCAATATCACCCTATTACCCCCCCACCCCTGCCATCCCACCAATTTGCAGACCAGCCTAGACTTGAAGCCTTTAAATGATGGCGAGCACGTGACTTCCCAAGGCACTCGTGGACAATTCAGATTTCCTCAAGATAGTCTCCTATCTTAAACACTTCCACGGCTTCACAGGAAGTCATCAGTGGTCTACCAGAGGAATTTTTAGCAACGGCATGCTGTTAGAAGGAGAAAAACACCAAATAGAATAGCTGAGAACTGCCTTCCGTGAGTGTCCAGCTTAGGTCTATCTGGTATTCTATTAAGCAGAGGTGCATAGTTAATATTTCAACATCCAGTGAAAAATATAATTATTTACTCCAGGAGGGTTACTCTTAGGAACACTCTTCACCTGCAGATGTGCGAAGTAGGGAGTCTCCTACACACACCTCAGGACCAGGAAGTAAATAAAAATAGTAAAAAGCCATGGTCCTCTGTTTTGAAGGGAGCCTTGTAAGTAGTCAGGTATACCTAAAACACAAGGATTTCTGAGGCTTTAGATTGTAGCAGATTATAAAGAGGAAGCAGCCCAGAGGCTCATTATTATAAACCAAATTGTGTGACTCCCCGCCTGATGGACTGCAGCTGCGTCCCCAGCCCTACAAAGGAAGTTATAAACTCCGTGAATGGTTCTTCCAGATTTTTTTTTATAATGTGACCCAACTTGTTTATCACTTTCTCTAGCTACTTCTAACAGTCTGTTCATTGTTCCAGAAAGATTCTCCTCCTCTTCCTTCTTTGCTTCCTCTGAGGATATTGTACTCCTCCTTCACCCCCATTATTAAAAGTCACCACCAGGAAACCTGTTCTTTCCTCATCCCAGAATCAGTCTCTCGGCCCTGTGGTCTCGCACTGCAGTGCATTGATTATGGAATCACTGTTGCCTCTTTGTGGAGGATGACTAGTGGTTTTAGGGTCTTGATGCTGCTGATTTTTGAGAACTGGGGACGCAGTTCAAAGCGATGAAATCTCTAAACCATTAGAGGATGTCTTCCATTTAATGGTATTAAAATAAAAGCTTTGGATTTAAAGGGAATATTCTTCATTTTTTAAAGAAAATTTCACTTAAGTTGCTGGACAAATGAAGGGCTGAGCTCATTTCTGTTCTGTATCTTCATCTATATATTGTTATAGTTTATTGGATTTTTAGTTTTAGCTTTTTCTCCTGTTTTCCTTGCATATATGCTTCCCCACCCACCCTGATCTATTTTGTTTCCTTTGCAGCACAGGAGCTTTTTATTTTGATACAGTCCCATGTGTGTATTTTGCTTTTGGTGTCTATGCTTTTGGTGTACTACTCAAGAAATCATTAGCAATGTCAAGATTTATGTGGGAGGATGGTGCTTTTCTGTCAGTGATTCATCACTCTGCAAGGATCTGAGTTTTCACTAGTGCTCCATACTCTTAGGATGCTGTGTCTACACTGCAAGTCTTTCCCTGTGAAGAGACTGCTTCTTGGCTTAGAGGTTATTTCATTAACTCCTTTAGGGTGCTAAAGACAAATTTCATTTTCTGACACCTTTCCAAAACAAGACTAATGTACTGGTTCGTTACAAGCAGCATTAGACTCCCCCCCCCCCCACCCCGTACTGGTGGTGTAAAAATAAATTTCTGTAATAGAAAAAGGTATAAAGAAATTTTTCATAATCCTGTCATCTAATCCTATTTAAGACTCTTTCTAGCCTTATTTTCCTGTGCATTTTTAATACTTAGGAATCAGAGTCACATGACATATACATATTTTAAAAAATCAACATGGGGCTCTAAACTTGAACTTTGTGTTAGGGTGTTGGGGGTATATTTATTCTTTTTGGAAGAGGATCATCAGATTTTCATGGTTCTCTGACCTTAAAAAGGCTATCTTCTAACCTGACATTAAAGCCCAAGTCTTTTAACCCTGTGCCTTCAGACACTCTAAAATATTCTCAGTAACTGTTTTCTGGATGATTTACTTCCTCATTTTTTTATCATAAAAAATACAAATAGTGAAATCTACCTCAACAAATTTTTAAGTATTATTAACTGTATGTACATTGTTGTCAGAACTTTTCATCTTGCATATCTGGAACTCCATACTCATTGAACCAGGACCTCTCCATTTCTCCCTTTTCCTCCCAGCCCCAGATAACTACTTTCTACTTTCTGCTTCTGTGAGTGTGAATACTTCAGATAGGTCACATTGGTTGAATCCTTAGTATTTGTCCTGTGACTGGCTTATCTCATCTCACGTAATGTCCTACAGGTTCATCCACGTCACAGCACAGGACAGGATTCCCTTCTTTAAGGCTGAATAATATTCCATTGTGATGTATATCACATTTTCTTTATCCATTCATCTGTTGATGGAAATTTAGGTTGTCGCCACTTTTTTGGCT